AGTGAGACTCTGTCTCAAAAAAAAAAATAACAGCACTATATTGCCTCTGACAGAGAGATCCAACACTCCAGTTTTAAAATCATTCAGTGTTTATTTTACATATGAATTGTGTAAGTGAAACCTTAGTCTATCTTCTTTCCTTCATTCTCCATACCTAGCATTATCATTAAATCTAGCTAATTTTTCAAATTTGTCTATTTTCTAAATCTCTTCTCCTTTCCCACCACATTAATTCAAGCCTCAATACTCACACCTGGATTAACAGCCTCCTAGCTTCTTCTTGACTCTAGACTCTCATCTTTGCAATCCATTCATAAATCTTTCTATTTCCAGTACCTCTAATTTGGGGCATTTCTTCCATGAAGTCTTTTTGATTCCTCAAGTCCTCAATGATCTCCCTTGAGTCTTTCAGTCAATTTCTACTGAGCCAATATTAAACACCACAACTGATCAATTTTTAACAAACACATTCATACATACCACACACATGCATATACTATGCACACATATGTATAGTTTTCTATTCTTTACCATTATTGATTCTATACTTGATATTTATTGCATTCATTCATTTCATACTATTCAGTTGACCACAAAAATCTGTTTTTCCAAAGTATTAAAAAATGCATTTACCTAACTTAAAGAGGCCACTGTGTAAATGACTGCTCTTACCTGAATAGCTGTCACAACTTTTATGAGCAACATAAATGAAAGATCATTACCCTGTTGATATGGTGCTGGTTCAAACGGTGGAGCAGCTCCCCGAGGATCCTGATAATACACATCTGCCTGCTGTGCTGGATATAACTGAGAACCTCGTGGGACCATCTGAAGTGGTTTGGTGACAGGCATGGCAGGCAGATCTGCTGGCCCCCTTGCAGGTACAGGATGTGGATTCACAGGTAAGGCAGAAATACTCTTAGGGACAGATTCTAGCCTAAGGGTATAAGATTATGCATGTCAAGTTTAAGGTATCTAAAATACTTCTAACGTACATAAATTGTAACAAGTAAAAAAGATTGCCCAAAGTTTGGGAAATTGGTTTATTCTAATAGACATTTGTCTATAAAATTTGTAAATTTTTATCTTATTTTATCCATACTATTTTTAAAAAATCACTAGTTTGGGAAATAAAAGTAAAAAAACAACAAAATCAAGGCCAAAAGAAATCAGTTTGTTTTTGCTTTTTAAAAACCAAAACATTAATTATTCCTTCTTCCTTCTATTTTATAGAGAAGAAATTTTAAGTAAGAGTTAGGAAAAATGACGTACAGGTCAGGAGGGGATCCAGGAGCACTACTGCTTAGATGATCTATCTTTCCTGGCTTCAGATTAGAATCATAGCTGGGGTCCGTCCCTCGTGGAATAAGCTGTGTTACTGTATTCCCTGCTGATACAATTCCATTTGGCAGAGCAGGAGGTTTTCTGCTAGGCAGATCCACTGCACCTTCATCTGGAAGGATAGCTGTTGAAGGCAGGCCCACCTCATTAAGTTGACCCAAAGAGGCACTCAGGGGTCTTCTGGGAACCAGGCGCTTGTTCATCTTGCGAAATCTATAGAAAAACCAAAGACACACACCAAAAACCAAATATGAAAGCAAAACCAAGAACTAAAATGTATGTAAGACCATTATTTTCTAGAAAATCTCTCTCTCAAAACATTGGCTCTATCAACTTGAGAACTCACTGTGTCTATGTGTGTATTTTCTATAAAATCTCAAGCAGCAAGACATACTGTATAAGTACAAAATTCCTCATAAAAATGTGCAACAGTTGTAACATTATAAATTATGCTATCAATATATTTACTATAATATACCTGTGTTGAAATTTCTATTTCTAAAACTTACTAGAGAAGCTAGTAGAAAAGTCTTTAGAAGACAGTTTCTGAAATATTTCACTTTAGCTTCCCTCAAATGCCTTGGGATACAGTGCGCCCTATGTTAAAAATCAAGAATAAAACAAAAATAAAGCCAGTGTGCATTATGAAAAATATACCATTAACTCGATTAAAAATTTAAATAATTAAAAATAGTGGTTTTTATCATAACTGCTTTAGAGCTGTTGATGTTATGTGTACCTATACAAAACAAATTATTTTAAAAGTTAATGGAAAGAGTACATAATAACAGCCTAAATTTAAACAGATGCTATGGGGTAAAAGGCACATAGATTCTAAAATCTAACCAAAGGAAAAAAATTTAAGCCATCAGACTCTAGGATCCTTGTTCCTCAACAATAAAAGCAAATCCATTTACAACTGCTAGTGCATTTTAAACACCAATTTCAGAAATAAACCTCCACAACAGTAATGCTGTTTTTCCAAGTTTCCCAAATTTGACAGATTTCTGGGGGCAGGAGGAAGACTACCCTTCAAAGGTAACCATTGTGAAGAGTTTGGTATATCATCACACAGATTTTTTCCCTCTATATATTAGTTTACTATTCATATTCATATGCATGTAAGATTGTTATTTACAGAAATAGGGTCATATATTACTGCTTAGTAATTTTTTCCCTCAATAATCTTGGATATTCCTTTATGTCATTTCATTTTAGGTTATTTTATTCTACTTTTTTGCTATTAAAACAATGTTGTAATGGATAATTATGTACTTGTACCCTTGTGTAAGTAACCAGAAACAGAATTGCTAGGTCAAAGGGTGTGCAAAGTAGAAGTTTTTATAATGCCATATTGCTCTCTAAAGTTACTATAACTCCTACTGATAATGAATGAAAAAATCTTTCAATACTTCATCAAATATTGGGTAGTATAGGTCTTTGTTATTTGGTAACCCAAAAATATTGGGTTGCTTTAAGTTGCATTTATTTAACAATTAGTGAAGTTGACATTGTTTTCACATGTTTACTGACCATTGGTATTTCCTCTGTGAATTGTCTTTTTACGTTTCTGATCCATAAATCTATTGGTTTCTTTCTTAAAGATTTGTAAGAGCTCATTTTATATTAGGGATACCAGCCCTCTGCATGTATGTCATTTCCCCACCAATTTTTTTTTTTCTTTTTGGTAAACTGTGGTGTTTGTACCATATCTTAGTTTTTAATTTTT